GAAACTATGGTACATCTTAAATCATTTATGGATCAATGAAACAATGAATCAACAGAGCCCTCAAGATATCACTCATTTGGCACTCACCATCCAAAGTCTCATGGGAGAGCAGAAGAGAGGAAGAATGAGAGTCAAGAGCAAAGAGAGGCCCCAACAGCCTGTGTGTAGGAAAGAGGTCGATAAAGCATAAGGAAGTGAAAGTTTCCAAGACTGCAGATCCATATTTTCTGGACAGATAAGGATCTATATGAACAGAACCACAAACACCCTTAGTGTGAGTCAGAAAAGGGCATCCATGCTCCAGGCCATTGGGCCTCCCTCTGGACTCAATGCTTGGACTGCAACACATTAGCCCTACATTACCATAATGTTCATTAATAAGAGAGATGAGTAAACTGTATATATTTATTCACATAAATAAAAAAGAACTGCTACCTGCAGCACTGATATGTCTATATTATTATAGACATATTACACAAAATGTATCAATAAGCTCTCCCCCACACGGAAAAGAAAATAAAAAATAGAAACTTAAATTTGATGGCATTTAAATCAATAAAACACTAAAGCTAACCAATGACTTAAAAGTTAGAATAGTGTCTGGCCTTGGGGTCCGGTTATGATTATATGACAAGGTTTCTAGGACTAGTAATGTTTCTCAATTTAAATGCTGGTTAGCAGTATGTGATCACTTTATAGAAATGCTTCTCATCTGTGCTTGTTTTCTCTGATGGAATAATTCAATAACATGTTCAAAGAAATAAAGCAAACAAAGATCAACACAGGAGGAAAAGTCATCTACTGTAACCTTTCATTTAATGTGTCCAGATAGAGAACCACCCAAAAAGCTCAGTGAGAAATATGTCAATACATTTCTTAAGATCTTCACCTGAATTTGACTTATTTTTATGAAGAGTTCCTTCTCTTACATGAAACTATGCTGAGAAACTAATATGAAGTATTGCTTTACCTAACATATAAAAATGTTGAAAAACATCTGAAAATACCTCTGCACAATCTACTTGGAATGTAACTGTTTTACATAGATGTATTTGGTCAGAATCATCCTAATTATCAACATGTTAACTCAATGACTAAAAGCACTTTCCTCTTACCCTCCTCTTTTATGTATAGATTGAACTCAGCTACATAAGGCCATGCAGGTGGGGAAAAAAATATTATGGAAAATCCTGAGCAACATACAACTCTAAGAAAAGTCCCATAAAAACATGGCCTTCCTTTGGGACTCTTTATTTCCTCTGTAGATCTGTTTCAGCATATTTTTTTCCTCTTCCCGAAGTAATACAATCAGCTTCCATATCAATGATTTGTCCCTCCTTCTCAATGTCTCTTCATATGGTATGCTACATGAATGCTCCACAGGATGTATATAAAAGTGATAGCATACAAACTTGCATCAGAAAGAATTATACCACTAAATTATGGAAGATAATTCAAAGCACAGTTTGCTCATATTTATTCAATACTTCATAAAACTTCAGCCATTACTGCTGTGGAACTTTTTTGGTTTCAAGGTACAACAGGTGGCCATTAAGTATTTGTAGAATCATTAGCACTTACATAAAATACGCTTCTAGTCTTTGAAATGGTAGGAAGAGAGGGCTAATAAGCCTCCAGTCCCTTCATATTATTGAATATCAACCTGGTGATTGGACACTAACATTGGCAAGGTATTTAGGATAAATATCCACTAGTAGTCCTATCCCGTGTTATATTCAGCTCTTACATGTCCCTCAATTCTGATCATTTAACTCCCTTCTCTTAGCTAAAAAAGATCTTGTTCTTTATAATTTCCACATTCAAATTGGAAGTTCTGTCAAGTTTGGCCTTGTTTAAACTACTTATCCCTCCCAAATTTAAATTTTTTCCAAATTCAATACTGTATTGTACTTCCTCCTTCTCACATTATCAATTCTACTTATTTTTATAGCACCCCCCAAAAGTCCCTTTCCCAGAATAATGTATAATCCAAAAAGTCCTTTCAACTATACATATGTATGTAATATATTCCTTCTTCCTTCTTAAGTTTAGGAAAATAAATTTTAGCTAAAATTTACTACTCATAAAATGCCTTCAAGGAATCTTCCATCCTCTGATCTCAATTTTATTATAATCACAATATTATAGCAAACTCTTAAAATGATTTTTTAAAAAGTCACAGGAAGACTTTCTCAAAGTATATAATTGTAAGTGTACAATAAATATCCTTTATAACTCTAGTATTAGGGATACAGCTGAAAAAATACACTGAATTTTCTTATGTGTTTGCTGTTTCTTGTTGGGAATGAAGAGGAGGAGATGGAAGGTTGAGGATAGTCAGCAAGACCCAGTTGCTATACATGAAACCACCACCTTTTTGTCTGTTAAAAAAAAAATGGATGCTGGAAGCTAGTGGCTCACACCTGTAATCATGGCTACTCAGGAGGCTGAGATCTGAGGATGTTCAAAGCCAGCCGAGGCAGGAAAATGCATGAGAATCTTATCTCCAATTAACCACCAGAAAAACTGGAAGTGGTGCTGTGTTTCAAAGTGGTAGAGAAGTAGCCCTGAGCCTAAAATCTAGGGGGCAGCACCCAGGGGCTTAGTACAAGCCCTATGTCCAACCAAAAAAAAAAGCTTGGAACTATATAAATAAAAGCAAACACTTCTATGCTTTGCTGAGAATAATGCACATAAATGTCTCCTACTTTCCCACTTAGGACAAAGAGGTTTCATGTACTAAACTGGAGCATTTATGAAATCTGCATTGAGTAGTGAGAAATAAAATTACCTCTGCATACATGCATAAAGTGTTCTATCCTTTAAAAGATTTAGGAATATTAAAGTGACTTTAGCAAAACTCCATGAACTTTGGTTCTCAATTCAGAAAACTACCTACAGGACAATTTCTGAATGCCATCTGGGATCCAGGCAGCCTCATCAACAAAAGGGAAAACTTGAGATCATCCAAATCTAAAATTCACATACATTTTTACATCTGGACTGAATTAATCTTTTCTTGGTACTGGCTTTCATGTAATAAAATAATTGTTTGCAGGTTTTATTTGACCAAAAAAAAATCCCTACAGTTTTAAGAATCAAAATGTTCAACACTCAAGTTGAGAACTACAAAGAATTGCTTTATCAAAGTTACTTGTGAGACAAGACTCATTTATACTAAATTCGAATCCTGACAGCTCAGTCAAAAACAATTGTTTGAAACTTTCATTCCAAGCATCTGCCCAATAACCTCCAGTCTATTATGTCATAAGTTCTAAAGCCAAAAGCTTTATAAGCATAGTTAAACGTGAAAACCAAGTCCAGAAACTAGGATAAGGTCTACAACAGCCCCTAATTTAGTTAGCCCAGTTGAATGAGTTTTGTAAAGAGCTTGTAGCTGAAAACTGTTACCCAGCACTTTGGCATTTTGTTTTCAAATGCAGAAGGCTCATCAGGGCCCCTCTTGTTTTCAGGCATTTGCCTTAAATCTGCAAGTTCAAATCTGTGTACTTGAAGCTGGTATCTTACCCCTGTTGCCTCCCAAAAGAAAGAATGAGAAAACAAAGAGAGACTCCCTGTCCTTAAAAATGTTCTGAGCACAGCAAGGACCACTGATGAGTGAGTGCAGCCCATCAGTGTCAGATCTCAGGGATTCTTACAGGCAACCCAAAGGGGGGGCAATTAGTTCATATTACAGCAGTCCCCTTTCTGGAGAAGATATCCTGCAGATAACTTGATATGAGATATCCTCTGGGGGACCCTTTTCATCTCATAATCGTACCAAAAGGCCATTTTAATATGAAACAGGAATCCAATATGTTTACAAACACACTGAAAAGGCATTCAGATGGCAGCTGTCTTGCATTTGTGTTTTCATTTTTCACGTGAAACTTTCATTTCGCAAAACCACACCCAAGGAGAATGATGAGGTGCTGGAAGTTTTCTACTACAAAGGACACCCGCAAAAGCATCTGTTTTCCTGCCCTTTCTCTGGTCTTCTCCCCTCCTCCACTCTCCCCTGCAGGCCATTTGTAGGGTCTTGGTTGTTAAAAAAAACAACAAAACTACTTTCTACAGTAGTCCTACAATTCTCCAGGTCCTAAAAAACTTCTCCTACTTTTAACATTGTTGAGGCCTAAATTTATTCACTGCTCTGAAGGAAACACAAAAGTCACAGGCCCTTTTTTTTTTTAATGATAGATGTATTAGGGAAAAATTTCCCCACAAAGTTTTGATGCTGTGAAATATCAACTCCCTGAAATCATAGAAAGGAAATGACTTACATTCTTGGAAAATGAAGCCACTAGCAGCTTTCTCCAACAGCATTTTCTAATCCCCAACCTACACCCTGTGGCAACAAAGTGTATTTCCTGCAAAAACTAAATTTAAGGAGATGCTTAAAAAAAAAACCAATAAACAATCCCCAGGTCCCTGAGAAGAAAGGAAGGAATCATGCATGGAAAATCCAGCATGATACCCCCCCTCTTTTTTTTTTTCTCTCCACATTCATAAGCATTGGGAATCGCAGGCTTGAAGTCAAAAGCAACCTGAGAACCCTCACTGAAGTGTACCTCCCGCCCCCTTCCCTCCAGCACCCTCTGTGGGGCTTTGCAAGCTCCTGGGGGAAAATACTAGCAAAACTGATTCCTGCTTTAAAAACACTTTTTTTTTAAAAAAAAATAGAAACGGAAAAAATTAAAAGGTGCTGGGGAGTAAACTTAAGAATGATTTCTTTGGACACTCACTAGAGCTACACAACTGCACAGCCTGGAAAATCTGCCAGCTTTCATTTCAACTTTAAAGGATGCTTATTTTTTTGACAGCTTTCTATCTATTCCTGCCTCGAAGAAAACGCCCCAGCGTGGGAGCTGTGTCATCTCCGGACCTAGGGTGTTATTTTCATTCTTGTGGACCTTCCATGGGTGCCCCCCCCCCAGCTGTCCATACCTGGCAGAATCTAGCCCGCCCTCCTTGGAGTGAAGACCGACGGGTGGTCTCCGATGCCTGGCGCCCGGCCTGAGCACCTCAAGCTCCTCCAAAGATCCCACAATTTGCAGGCCGCGCCCCCCCCCCGCCCATCCGGGTGTCCGCAAGGCCCCCCCTTCCAAGGGAGCCGATGCGCCCCAGCCCCAACTCCGGATGCCTGGACTGAGCACTTTCGGACACTGCCGGGCAGACGCAGCGCTGGGGAGTCCCTTCCCCTTCCCCAGACCGGACTGCCAGCCTCGGGGCGCACACAACAGGCGACACCGCACAACCCTCCAGAACGTGGAGCTCAGGTGCTGGTCCCAGCGACAGGGCGGGACAGGCAGGCGCCTCACAGCCCATCGGGGCGCCAGGGACCATCAAGGAGCGCCCTCCCCCGACCCCCACGATCCGGGGACCCTCACTCGCACGGCGCACAAAGCCCAGGGCGCAGCCCGGACCGGCCTCCCGCCCTCGCCGCACAGGCGGCCTCCGAGCTCCGCGCCACCCCCGCTCCCCGACTCGGCTGCCCCGGGGCCCCATCCTCCCGCCCCGGCGTGGGCGAGCTCCGACAAGCGTTGAGGCGACCTGCCCGCCCGGTGCCCGACGCCCAGAGCCGAAGGAGCAAGAAGAAAAGACGCGGAGAAGGGGAGCGCTGCCTCCTCCCGGACTTCCAGAACACCCTCCCCAAACTGTCCCGCGCCCGCCGCCGCCCCGCCGGCAGGGGGCACAGCGGAAAACCCGGGAGCGGTGGAACAAGCGAGGGGGGCCGACGGGTGAGGAGAGCCCCCCGGAGCCAGGCTCCGGCTCCTACCTGGAGCAAGTCCCGAGTCCCAGGCGTCCGACTCCCGTCTGCTCGCGGACCTTCCCCGCCGGCGCCTAGCCACCCGCTCTCTCTCTCTCTCTCTCTCTCAGCCCCTCGGCCAGGGCAGCCAGACGTGCGCTCCCGACCGCCCCGCCCTCCGCCCACGCCTCCGGACCGCCCCGCCCCTATCCGCCCCGGAGGGCCCGCCCCCCCACCAGGCTCCGCCCCTTCCCGCCCCGTGGTGGCGGGGGACTCTGGTGAGCTGCTGGTGGTGCTCACTCAGAGTGGGTCTGGTGGACGCACGTGGAGCGCAGCCCGCCCCGCCCCGCCTCGGACCCAACCAAGTCTCGCCGAGGGGTGCGAGGAGTCGGGTGCGGGAGATGATGGGACAAGCAATCCCTTTCGGAGTCTAGGGAGCGCAGCCAGGTTCACATGGACGTGAGAGGGTGAACCCCGTCGTTTTCTACCTTTCCCCGTGCGGTGACGTCTGAAGCGCGAGGGGACCCTGCCGCCCCCCACCCCCCCTCCTTTAGCCAAATGGTTCCTTCCTCCGGTCAGCCCCCGCGCCCGCCCCAGCAGAAGACGCGCTGGCTGGGGGCGGCTGTTTGGCCTGAGTTCGGGCTTACTAATTCCGAACAAACCGGAGAGGCCACTGCGGGAGGAGGCGGTCCCCGGCGGGGGAGGCGTCGTGACTCCTCGTTTCCCCGCAGTCCTCCCGCCCCGCGCCCACCGGGCGGGCCGCGGCACTCACAGGACCTCCGCGGGAAGGAGGGGCCGCCGCCGAAGGGCCGAGCCTCCGCCGCGGATCCCGCCTCGTCGGCTCTCCGGGCGCACGCATGCACGCACGCAGCCTCCGTCGGTGGGTGACCCCCCTCCTGAAGGAGGCACGCGGGGTGGCGAGCGATGGCCAAGTGCCAGGTGTTTTAGTCAAGATCCGTTGCCACCCGCAGTTGTCGGGTCCGGGGGATGGGGCGAGCTCCACTGCCTCGTGAGGCCGCGCCCACCAGGACCCCCACCACCCCCCTGCTAGGGGACCGGAAGCCCGGGGAGGGGTCGACCTCCACCTGGCCCCGAGGCTGGGGACCCACCGAGCTGCTACTTGCAGGGCATCTGCGCGTCGAGGTCTCCCTGGACTCTGTGAGCCCATCGAGTGTCTGGAACAGGTAGTGGGGGGAGTTCCAGGAAGCTGAGGAAGACCCGAGGAAGAAGGCTACCCACCGTCAGAGGCTGTCCGAAGCCCACTGTAACATTGCCCTCTTCCACTGCCCAAAGCCAGCTGTTCTGTTGCTGGTTGAACAGGTGCCTCATGGGCAGAGCAAAAAAGTTCAGTTCTGTGTTCATCAGAGCCGAAGCTCACCTCGGATTGTTGTCGACTTCACTGGTTTTGCATGTTGGGGATCGTGAAACTAGAAGTGGATAGATTAGGCGCCGAGATCGTTTGCCTTCTTGCCATCGGCAGTATCTGTGGAGCTTGAGTGGACAGTTTCTAGAGATAATCGCGCTCAATTTAAAAGTCACGACTCCCATTGTGGAAAGCAGGCAGGATGGATGATTGCTTCCATAACTGCTTTTAAATTAGCACTAATTTAAAATTAAATGACTGCCCTTGAGTTAGTGGTACAAATTGAACCATTCAGTTAATATGCCAAAAATAGTTAATAATTGATCACAATATAAGTATTTAAATGTGGAAGATCACACTTTTTCTTACGTTTTTATTTTCATACGCATTCAAAATAAGGACATTGGATACTAATTAGTAAGGTCTTGATTTGATAGCTAATGAGATATCCATGTGCAGTGTAAATGAGAAGTATATTGCTGTCCTCTAAAACATAAATCTGACTTATTTTCAAGTTTAAATCACAAGCTAGTAGATGGAAAACAGCACATTGTGAAATATTGCTACAAGTGTAAATAATTAGGCAGTCTAAAAAGTAACAGTACTTAAAATGTGCTTATGTCTGGCATGCCAGCACATATCTATAAATCCCTAGCACTTGGAACACTGAGGCAGGAAGATCTCAAGTTCTAGCCTAAACCCTATAGTGAGTCCCTGTCTCAAAAAAAAGAAAAAACCCAATTGTGAAAAACTGAATTTGTTGTCTAGAATGAAATTATAGCAAAATTTACTATGTGATTGTTTTCCAAATTCTAATTATCATAGTAACAGTAGGAGTAGCACAATTAAGATTTCTACATCATTTTGTAAACTAAGTACACATTTTAAATTCATTTTATGAACCCTTGTAATAAATATGGTAAAACTCTGGAAAAAAAGGAAAGGATTGATTTGGAAACAAGACAATCTTGTCTCCAACTTTTTTTTTAAATCTTGTCCGGAAGATAGGATAAAGGCCTGAGAAAGAACGTATTGTTTGAGATGTTTCTTATCACAGGGAGGTTTCCGAGCTTGTTACACTGGAGGATGTCATTTTGTAGAAAATTTAAAACTATCTTTTATTTTCTTTTTTGATGTTGGCATCTAGTTTTATTTTTATTGGTATGATGAGGTGCTCTCCTAAGTAGGGGACATTGCAAGCAGAGAAATATCCCAAACACCATAAGTTACTACTTTTTCCAATGTACTTAGCTATCAACACAACTCTTATTTTTTCATTTTTCTTAGGGAAAAGTTACTCATTCCATGAATATATTGAATATTCCCATGCAACAGGCACAGGATTAGACCATGAGATTCAAAGAAATACTCCTGGATTTTATGGTAGCTAAGATTGGGGAATAAGCAGACCACTAAACATTTACAATATCCCTTAATTCCTGCTATGGTTCAGTCACACAAAGAGTTATGCAGCAGTATAGGACTATAGGAAGAGTATGAGACATCCCATTCTGACCTGAGATGGGAAGAATCAACAGAAGTTTGCCTGAGGAAAAAAATGTGTGTGTGTGTGTGTGTGTGTGTGTGTGTGTGTGTGGTGGTTCTCAAATTTGTCAGCATATATGAATCACTGGGGGCTTGGGAAAATGATCAATGCTTGTGTCCCAGGCACATGATTTAATTGGTCTGCAATAGGATCTGGAGTCCTGGATGTTTTCAATATCCTCATATTAAGTTTAGACATAGTTGAGATTAAGGCTGAAACATCCCAGGTGAAAGGCATAGAATGAGCAAGCACAAGGAGGCATGCTTTTAAAGCTTAATGACTGTAATTAATTAATGCATGATGGCTATAACTAATTACAAGTTGACTCCTAATTAAAGAAACTTAAATTTTGGTGGGTGATAATACATTTTGATGTAAGGAACACAAGTATATAGGCAGGAGATACAAACAAGTATGAACAATTTAGTTCAGAATATTAAAAGAAAAGTTATTTCTTATCTCTTATGATTCAAGGTTTTGAAGATTCGAAGCATTTTTTTCATGGTGAAATGTAAGTTTAGTCTAAGAGATGAATCATACTACCTTTAAAGAATATTTTTGCAAAATTAAATACTGTTCATTCCTGCTGGAGGTCATAATAAATAAATTATGTTCATTTCTCTTCTTAGTAATTGGTGAGATTCATTTTAAAAGCAAAATAAAATGTATTTTAAACAGACAAAATAAATTTTAAGTCCTAAATGTCACTATAACTAATAAAAGACAAAACAATTGTACGTCAAAACTTAAATAATGCAGTGTCACAGTAATGGTTTTCTCTGCTTAACATACAAAAGTCCTTATTATTATTCTTAGCTGGTATATTACTGTATTATATAATATAAAATACCAAAAGCGGTTCTAGTACCAAGTCAGGAAAATTGATTATCAGGCATTTAATCAATTGTCTAGTTACTATAATAGCAAGAGTACCTAACTGAGAATAAATACAGATCATCTCAATTTATGATGATGTGACTTTGAATCGTTTTTTTATGATGTTGTAGAAATGATCCACTTTCAGTGGAAACCATACTCCATCCGAATTTTGCATTTTGACCTCTTGGGCTAGTGATATGCAGTAGTGGTATGCTGGGTAGCAGCAGAAAGGCAGTGCCCATCAGCCACATTATCACCAGTTAAGCACTGGTACTCTCCTAGGTACTAGATTCAGTGGACTACATGAACTACTGAACACATAAAATAGCCTTTATGTTAGATGACTTAGCCTAACTATACCGGCTAATGTAAGTGTTCTGAGAACATTTAAGGTAGATTATTTTTATTGAATATGTTTTCAACTTAGCAGCATTTTCTATATACAATGGATAGTAAATTTCATCTTACAAATCAGAAGCATTTGAAATTATTTTGCAAAGATAGCACACCACCAGGTTAATATTATAGAGCAATCTAGTTCAAAAAGATTTCCGCACTTGGGAGACAAGTGTTGAAAAAAAGATTTCATTCAATTCCTGCTCTCTTGCTCATCAACATTTGAGAAAATACTTGAAAGTAGGATAACTTGACTATGCAGGGACAGAATTTGGTTTTCACAAGAAGTAAAGCTTACAGGAGATACATTTGAAGAGCTACTTTGATTCTATTTCTTTTGTGATTTAGTTTAACCTTAAGCATCTCATTCCAGTTCCTGAAGAACTTGAGTACTTGAATAGTCCAGACTGAAGAAGCAAAATTGATAAGACTGAGAAGTCAGGGTCCACCTCTTCAACCTCTACAAAGGTGTTGTATGCACAGGGTAAGATAATCCAGCATAAAGACATGCACTGAGTTTCCCCAGCAGAGAGGCATAATGGCATAGGCAGGGCTAGCTAAAAGGACTCTGCCATTAAACTATAGTTGGGGAAAATAGGACTATTGCTTTACTATTGGGGCTTCACATTATGCAAAAGAAGTCTATAGGCAGAAGAAAAGAGTACTCCAGAAATATGTCTGCTAGAAGGGTAAGACAAAGTGTAGATCCCTACGTTCTGAAACTTAGTACTGTGTGTTGATTGCCTATACCTACAAGAGGCTTTAAGTTCCCTGAGGTTTTCCGCTCTGATTTGTGGATTATTCTCTGACAACTTCATCCAGAGATAGATGAGAAAGGGAACACACTAATTCCTCTGTGTCATGCCTCAAGCATGCTCTGTCTTTATCTAGGAAGAGTCACTTTCAGACACAGATGATAACATGAATGTCATGAGCCAATGAAATTTTCTCACTGTTTCATGGCATCCTATCGGTTTGTACCTGAGATCCACTGAACTAGAACAGTGGAAGATGGAGACATTCATCCCAGAACAACATGTCCATCCCAGCTAATACTGACTTTCTAAAGAATACAACAGCTCCATCTGTGCAAATGCATTATGAAATCTGTCCACTCTTTTTTAACATAGTCACTTAGAGTAGACTGTAAGCATAGAAAGCCACCCTTAAAGTTATTTCTCAATGCTTAAAAAAATAGAATGCTGAATAAAAGTGCAAATAAAAAGCCAGGTACCAGTGGCTCCGCCTGTAATCCTAACTACACAGGAGGCAGACAAAT